GAGCGAGATCTGGGAGAGGGGAGAGAGGGGACGAAAATATATGTATATATACAATTTTCACGCATTTTATACATTTGCATTTTTGTATAAAGTGAGAGAGGCGAGTGAGAGAGCGAGATCTGGGAGAGTGGTGAGCGAGATCTGGGAGAGGGGAGAGAGGGGACGAAAATATATGTATATATACAATTTTCACGCATTTTATACATTTGCATTTTTGTATAAAGTGAGAGAGGCGAGTGAGAGAGCGAGATCTGGGAGAGTGGTGAGCGAGATCTGGGAGAGGGGAGAGAGGGGAACGAAAATATATGTATATATATAATTTTCACGCATTTTATACATTTGCATTTTTGTATAAAGTGAGAGAGGCGAGTGAGCGAGCGAGATCTGGGAGAGTGGCGAGCGAGATCTGGGAGAGGGAGAGAGGGGAACGAAAATATATGTATATATACAATTTTCTCTCGCTTTATACAAACACAAACGCACTTTATACACTTGCGTTTGTATAAAAAACAAGAGATCGAGGGAGAGAATGAGAGTGGCGAGCGAGATTCACCAGGAGAGAGGTGAAATAGCAATAGTTTGCTATGAGGTACAATTAAATCAAACTATATTTATAGCATTTAATTTGAATTAATAGTTTGCTATTATATACAATTTTCCCTTTTTTTAATACCACTTAGAAGTTGGAACTTTTCTTGAATGTGTAGGCATTATGAGCCCGTCAATGTTTTGGGCCTGTAATTATGGATGGCAAACGCCAAACAGGACTAAGAAATTGGATTACTCCTTTTTAAGACTAAGATTGGATTTTGAACTAAAGTTGTCTAAATCATTCTCTTTTTAAATTTAATACTGTACAAGCTATTTAGTTTTTTTTTTCTATATTTCTTCACTATTATAGAAAAACAAACAATGGAAGTACAGGAAAAGTTTCTATATTTCTTCACTATTATATATGCACCACAAATTTAACTTATATATATTATATTAAAGCAGAGGCAGACATACAGTACTACTTTAGAATCTGTATGGGTTAAAAATAAGAAAAATGACTTTCGTATTTTTTACATCCCCACCCCCACCTCATAGCCCTATCCTCATCACTCCACTCCTACCTCCTATATTATTTGTCTAGATTGTATGCAATACATACCAAAAACAAGAAAATACGTAAGAAAGTCACTTATTTTTCTAGAAAACATTTTCTTTTTCCATAGAAAATATTTACCTCAAGCACATTGGATAACGTTTTTGTCCTTTTTAATCTTTTTCCTGACATATACTCGTGCTTTAAGAAAAACTTGATAGACACAAGACAATAAAATGTGATCATGAAGATTATAGAACCCTTGGACAAGCAATGCTTTTCTTGATTTTCTAGTTTGGGAATATTTGAATGAAAATTCTTGCATTGCTAAGTAGGCAAAGGCATTTTGGTTCTGTCCCTCAACTTTAATCAAACACAACTGTGTGTTTCCTCCTCTTTAAATCCCAAGCCAAATTTCATATTGTATTCATTAAAAAACAACAAAATTCTTAATCAACATTTTCCTTGTTGATCATGGCTGACTCAAATTATGTTGATAGGGAGAAGCAAAAGCAAGCAGACAATGATATCAAGGACATGATCTCTTCTCTGACTAAACGTCTAGCCGGCCTCCAACGCGTGCACAAGGCAACATCAGGAGGAGACTCAGGCAAGAATCTTCAAGGTGATGATGAAGATGATCATGGCACCAGAATCATCACTCTTGCTGGAACCAATGTGGGAGCCAGCATGCGCGGTGAGATGGATGAGAAAGCTGGGATCGAAGGCGTTTCACCAGGGGAAAATGAGGCCTTAAAAACATATGTGAACAGCAATTTCCAGTCCATCAACAATTCCATCATGATGGGTGGTAGCTATTGTACTAATGACCCTGGTGTTCATTTGGACATCACTGATCATGTGGATGAACAAGTCCCAAAACCACAAGGATATAAAAACAAGAAAGGCAAGAAAAGTGACCATCACTATGAACATTCAGAATAGACTTATATTCATAATCAAGAAGCTGCTAAAAAATTTCAAACCAATACTCTATATATGAATAAACACCATAGCTTAGTTGAGTTCTGTGTGTTTCCTTCTATTTTCAATGTCTCTTGTCTCTTGGCATGGAATTCCTGACAAGAATTAACAGTGGCGATTACGGCCATTCGACTAGAGACCTAGTATTGATGCTTGTCATGATCTATCAGAAAAGCAAATGTTACATTTGTATTATCTTAAATAATCACAACATCTTCTGCTGTTTTCTCATATTAGTCTCCTTTGGCTGCATTTGATTCATAATATTGACAGTTTTGATAAGCTCTTTCCTTGAAGAACAAAAATGAAAGATAAAGGTGCAGTCTTTTTATTACAAAATCTAAGGTTCACAAAGAAAACGCGGAATACATATTGAAATACTTGTAGATACAGTTGACATCAAGGGATCCTGGGTTCAGAATTGGTTTCTAGATCTTTGAAGGGTAACTCCTTCTCTTTTTTCTCTTCAGTTTCATGGACAACTTTTTGCATTTCTCTGTTCTTGCCCCAGAGCAGAAAATATAAACCAGCAATTACGATAGCCGATCCTATTACACTGATCATGATTTGTTTACAAGGAAATTAGTCAGTGAGAAGCTGGTGATTAGTTGGAAATAAGTTAAATAGGGAATATAGAAGCTTTAAATTGTTGTAATCACCTTCCAAGATGGAGTTGTTCGTGGAGGATGGGAACGTCGAATATGGCTGGCATAAATTGGGGAAGAG